GTTGTGTGACTTAGACGACTAGGTGGTGAACGAAGCTCCGAAGAGCCTTCCTTTGAGAACGACCCGAGTCGGGTAACTCGGTTACCACATGCCCAAAAATACTACAAACAATGGGTTGAGCGTCGAATAAGTTACGCCTGGTCATTAGATGCTCGGAGGCTTATGGTCACGAAAGGAAGTCCGTACAATTAAGCACGTACTATATATACAAGGTTATTTTGACAAGAAGAAGGTAAAGACTTCATTTAAACACTATTGTTACATTCAGAGGCGGACGCATACATTTAAAAGTAGAAGAGCACAATATAATTCATAAGACCATGTACAATGGTTGTCTAAATAAGCAATTGCTTAGAATATTTTAGTATTATTTTGGTGGGACCCTGTGCCATTAAGCAATTCTATGATTTAAGCAATTCAATCCCACAAACGTGAATTGCTTATTAAGCAACTCATGCGGGTCCCATATATACCCCACAAATTAACTACCAAATTAACTCATGCGCCATTTTCTGGTTCATTGGCCCACAAATTCTGATTGCTTGTGGATTGCTTATTCAAGCAATTGCTTAACCTAAGCAATTGCTTGTCTTCTCTTCACAATGGGAAATTGCTTAAATATCAATTACTTATTTTTAAGCAATCAGTTAAGCAACCCCATTGTAGATGGTAAGAACAAAAAAAAAAAAAATGACAAATGTTATATTACAATTGTTCTCTATGTGTTCTCTAAAAAAATGTGCAACAAATAAGAAATAACATTTAAAGTGCTATTTTATCAAAATTATGAAAGCCCTAAATTAAAAATTACATCAATTTTAAAAATTCTCAAATACAAAATTAGGGTTATGAAAATTAAAAAACAGTTAAATAAAGCATACTTTTTGAAATAAAAATTGATAGCCACTAAGGAAATAGAAGTTCAAACCACTTGATTATTGAAGGATTTTTTTTTTTTTTTTCGTAATTGCATCCAAATTTTATAGTTGTGCGAGAGGGAGTAAAAGAAGAGAAATGTGAACAGATCGAGTATAAGATAAGTTATGGCTTTTTGAGGAAAATAAAATAATTTGGTCTATTGTACTAGGAGGCCCACAAGATAACACAATTAAAATATATATTACATACCTCACAAGAAAACTTAACACAATTAAAATATATATATATATATATATATATATAT